ATGGTCACATTATAGCATTTCTGTAGTCATCTTCCATGCATTTTTATATTACCTCCTTACTTTCTATGTGGAGCTCTGGGCAATATGCTTATACCTGTTTTCTAGTTTACTAATTCTCCCTTCAGCTCCACCTGCTCCGCCCTACAATTCCCCCAGTCGTCAAACTTTATTTTTCACTGTTTTGTTCTGTGATCATTTCATCCTCGCCACTTCTCACACTGACGTTCCTTTCCTTTGGAAAACCTATTGAGTGGTTTCACACATACCCGATACCTACGCTCCTATTTCTAGTGCTTTGGTTATCTGCTCTACTGCTGTCTCTCCCCTGCAGTATGTTCTCAGGGTTTATAACGTGCTTGTCTCTGCTTATTTAGGGGATGGTTCGTTTGCCGAGAAGGGGCTGTGGTTTTGATCCGGAGCACTTGGGTCCCGACAAAGTCGAAAGAGCTTTCACATGAACTTCATCCCGTTTCCCTTCCTCACCACACAGGTGAGAGAACCAGGGTTGTACTCACGCTTCGGATATCCATTTACGGTGAACAAGATGTTCCACCAACAGCCTCAGGTATGTAACACAAATTGTCGATCTACCATTGGCCAGTGTTTTCAAAGCTCTGTCCTCATTGGTGGGGAAACTTCTAGGCTTACTTTGAGGGGGGCTCGTTTGCATGTCTCTACCACCCAGTGTTCTAAGGCACAGGCCATTGTATCTGCTCAGGTGGTGAGAACTACATCCTTACCCCGGGTCTTTCATTGCTCAGTCTCAGATCATGCTTATTTCCCCACCCTCTGTGTGTGTGTGTGTGTGTGTGTGTGTGTGTGTGTGTGTGTGTGTGTGTGTGTGTGTGCATATATCTGTGTCTTTCTCTCTGTCTCTCTATGTCTCTGTTCTCTCTCCTACTCCCCCCCCACACACACACCCGCGGCATTGAAAGGATTTCTGCTATGTGCTCTGAAGCACCTTTCTGGGCTTTGATCGATTGGAAAAAGAGACCTTGTGCATCAGCCTAGGTTTCCTAAGTCCTGATCTCCTCCAGGGCAAACTTTTACATCCAGTCCCCACACAACCCTAGCAGGTTCCTTCAGGTTTGCACTAAACCACGAACTATCCCATGTTCCTGGAAGACTGGCTGGCTGGCAGAGGCCTCAGTTCCTAGGCAACGCTAATTCTTTTGGAGTGCCTGGCTCATGTCGAGAACTTAATAAAAGCTGGTTATCTTCTATTCACTATCCAAGAACAGCAGTTAAGAAAGGCCACTGTTATCCAAAGCACAGAATTAAAAGGTACACCCTTAAAGAGAGCATACCTACAGCAATCACATCCTCCTCTCTAGTGAGGCAGAATGGGCTGTGGGTGGGACCGAAATGTTTCTGTGTCCATTTCTCAGAAAGCACCTGACTCATTAGCCCCATTGTTTAGAAGTCTTGAAACCCCAGGACTGATGACACCCATTTATTGAGGGTGAAGAGCAGTGGGGAGATTTTCCATTGTTCAGAGTCACTTATGGGGAAAATCTTGGAGTTCTTGTACTAAAAAATCAAGAGTACAATGCTCCTAAGTGCATTACTTCTTAGTCATGCTTTATGAAGGGAGGAGAGCAGAAATAAAAGATTCTGTATGTCTGAACAAAATTCTCAGAGAAATGTTTACTTTTGTGTGTTTGGATGATCATTATTTAATAATAAATAATAATGATAAAACCAGAGAGAAAATATTTTGCCATATGAGTTTAGAGATGATTTTAAAACTTAAAATTTTCCTTTGGGCTGAAATTTCTAACAAAGAACATTACTAAAATGTCGACTTACATGACCGCCACTACATCTTTAAGTTTACACTCAAGGGCTCTTGTTGGAGAATGCTTTGTACTAAAATTCCATGCTGGTACTTTTTAGGATATGCCCGCATGGAAATTACTTCATAATAGCTTGGTTTTCCTTTTTAATTAGGTTACATGGTGCAAGCCTAAGAAATCTCTAGCGCATCACCATGGACCTGACAAGCTCTCCCAGCCCACCATGATGCATTTTCGCAAGTCAAACCCTTAACTGTAAACAGACAAATCCATGAACCTGTGTATTTGTAGCACCTTCGAGCATCCATATTTTTTACTGTGCTCGTGTTAAAAAGCAAAGATTAACACACATCCACCAATAAAGTCTGAAAAGGGTGATATACTCTTATTTTCCTATGTTAAAATGACAGATTATGTCACACGTAGAGTTTGAAATGTCAAGATGAGCTAACAAGCAGTCAAAAAGGCAATTGAGACAGTTTGAGCCTTAGGCTGGTGAGCTATTCCCACCACTGAGATTGTCACTCTCCCTAGTATGCTTACTCCTTTGGGGGAGGTCCCTACATGGGAACACACTGGAGCCTCCACCTCCTGACAGTGCTAGCAGACTCAGGGATAATCAAGTTGCCCTGCACTCAGGTTGCCCTGCACTTCCAGGGTTCACAGAGGAGCCACCTCTCTATTCTTGCTAGGAAGAGGGTGGCAAATAGCAAATCCATACATATCCACCTCATTAAATACACAGCCTCCAAGATTCAGAGCTTCACAATATAGGCCATGCAGGCAATTTGCATATTGAAGCCTTGATCTACATTTCGTATATGATTAAAATGTTGGGTTCTCTGAAAAATCTGGCTTAGTCATTACAGGGACTCACAGCTGGAGAATTCTGAGCCCTCTCAGTCAACTTTGCTCCCAGTCTCATTTGTTTGACAGATACTATCTTCTGAGATGATGCTAATTATTCCATTCCTACGAAGAAACAGCTCTCTCCAAAAGAACTAACCATTAAAATGCAAATAGGCGTTCCCCACTTCACTGGTTAGCCAGGAAGGGCTTTAACAGCTTTCTGACAGGAGGGGGAAGCTCCCTCAGCCGCTTTTCAACCTGGTCCTTTCAAGGAGGCATGTCCAGCTTTGAGCCTTGTACTGCAGAGTCCTCTGGCTCTGATCCCTTCTGTGTGGTGGCATTTATAAGTGAACGCATAGACACCACTGAAGAAAAAAGAAAAAAAGCTGATTCTGAATTCTACTCACTATACCCGGCCAGCTCTCACTTAGACTAATTACTTAAATGATTTAAAAACCTATGAATATTCATATGCTGGTGCTTCTGAAAAACAAAGCCCAGCTGAGCCCAGGCAGCCCCTCCTCCCGTTCTCTTGTTTGGAGCAGTTCGATTTGCACAACTGAATCAGCCCCTGGGAAGGCCTCAGAGGAGTCTGGTCAGGAAGGCAAGAGCAGCCAGGATGCAGACCAGGACCTCCACTTCGGCTGGAGGTTCCTCCTAACCTGCCAGGTCCCTCCACTTGGACAGCTGGAACTACTCCTACATGAGGTCCAGCTTGGCTCCTCTTAAATATTTACAAGTTGCTCCATCCTAGAGCAATACACACTGTGGCGTGTGCTGACAAAATCTGTGATGTGCAGGTTAAACAAGGACAGGCATGGGGTAGAACCCTCAAGTGTCTAGGATTAGATGTGGAGCTACCCTCCAACGTTGCTGGGGGGAGGGACAACTCTTACCACGCAGAGACTTGGGTCCTTCCTGGACACAGTACCACTGTCCTGGGAAATCTCAAAAGGAATCTATCTCCCTTCTCGGCAACCACTCTGCCTGTAATGTTCCAGCCAAGACCAGCCTACATGCAACCTCCAAAGCATGCTTTACCGGAACTGGAAGACGCCCTTGGGGACAGCACATAGCACACAGCGCACTACCCCCAGCAGACGGAACACTTGTGTTATTAGAAAAGGCAGATGAAACTCCTTTGAATCTGCTCAAGCTGCGACACAGGTTTACTTCCTATCTTCTCTAGGGCTCACAGCACACTGGAACTTTCACCAGGAAGTGGGAAAGAGGACAAAGACATCGGACTTGAAGCCAGAACACAGTGACTGCTCCCAGGCTGGGAACAACACAGAAAAGCCATAATGGTAAGAAATGATTAAACTCCTAGTGTCCAAGGACCAAATCAATTAGGGATTCTCACAGTGTCCGTAAGACAGAGGATTGTCCCTTTGAAGGACACACTTTTTATAATCCTGGAAAGACCAGGGACAGAGATTCATGTAAACCACCAGACTTCATCACAGGTGAATCTGTGTTGTACAGTTAGTGAAGCAAAAAGAATTTGGAAAACTTTGTCAAAATACTCTTTTGCCACCAGACCGAAGAAATTGCCTACCAGTTAGAACTTTCAGATTAGCTCTGTATTTGCTGATCTTCTGACACCCAAGGTTTCTGGGGCCAGTAATCTCATACTAGGAGAGGGAATAGGGGCTAGACTCTGACCCCAAGTCAGCTCCTGTGTCTCCCCAGAGCCCCAAGGTGGCTAGTTTTGTAGCTGGTAGGCCTATTTAAAACACAAAATCAAAACCCAGCTTCAGGAGTCCCCACGAATAGGGGCAAGATGGCTCCTGGATTTTCTTTCTTCTTCATCACACTCACTGAAACACTGTGAATGTGCTTTCACTATTTTAAAATGTAGTTTGAATAGCGCATCAGCCCAGGAGCTCCACTCCCAAATGTCTCAACTGTAGGACTTGGCTGAAATTTCTGTTAGGACAGACAGCTTGTTCTCACGGGCACATTCCCTCAGGTTCAGTCACCAGCAGTTAGGAATAATTTCACAAAGCCTCATTTAATGTGAGCTTCATCAGAAGCTTTGGGTAATATTTTTAAAGCTAGCAAATGCATATTGACATCTATTACCTGGAGAAAACTGGCTATAATTTCTAAGTACAATACAGAAAAGAAAATATTGCCAACGGGTCACCATGTTGATTTCTTATCAGAGAGAAACTCCCGCCTACCACTCATGTGTTCTATTCTGTGTCACTCACGTTTCCCATCAACACCACCAACAATACCCTTTCAACTTCAAGACTGTCGCACACATCCATTGAAGCAGTGTGTGACCATCAAGCCAACGCATGGGACACTCCGGTGCCCCACGCACTAGAGCAGAAGTGAGGTACTCACCCTCTGGCTCTCCGCAAAGCGTGCACTGAGACTCTGTAGAGAGAAGAGAGAGAGAGAAGGGTTAGCCAGGACTGTGACTGCAGACTGGTCGTGAATGCAGGCAGCCACAGCCGCCTCACACAACTGGAGCTCCACGGCCCAGAGTCCCCGAGACTTTAGCCCAGAGCTGCTCTGACCGAGCCGTTTAGCAAGTTTTATCTGAAACCCAGACTTGCAAATAAATGCCTTGAACATTATAGTTTATATAAAGATGACAACCTCTTTGTCATATGCATAAGTGCACATCAAATGCATTTTCATAACTGTACAGTGTTCAACACTTGCAAGCTACTTAGATGAAATTAAAATGGTGGCGTTACTATTTTCAACAGCTAATCGTTTGACTACAGTTCTATTAGGCTTGCAGTTGTGATGATGATGATGATCTTTAGATACAGAAAGTATATCATATCTCAACAAAGACACTAAAATCCACTGGTTCTGACTAAGTTCTCCATAAATAAGTCCACCGTTGGTTCTTTAGAATGGACAGAGATGTTTAGGACCATGGTATCTGCAGTATATAACACTGGGAAGTCATAGCACCTATAGTATAGATGTAAGTGTAGGAAGACTGATTACTGCTTCCAGTCCAGAGCTAACCTAAAACACACACACACACACACACACACACACACACACACACACACACACACAATCCATGCCCAGAACTCTAGGACATGAGAAAGTCAAAGATAACCCTGGGGAGCAGGGAGAGGGTCCAAAGTTTGACTCTCTGGCTGAACTATAGGGCACACAAAGCATAAGGGCATCCAGTTGCCCCAAGCACACACAGGGTAAGAGGACATGGTGACCTGTATATCCAGAGAGTTTGAAATGCACAGGCAGGGCAATGTCTGTATCAGTCATATACTTTGGGATACACAGTCATGGTAACCTTTATATGTCTGGACACATGTAAGGGGGTACCCAAGGCATGATGACTTCTGTGTCCACCTAGACACAATGTTGGGGTACACAGGCATGGTGACTTCTGTGCATTCCCCCACACACTTTGGGAGGATACACATGGCGACCTCAGCATGTATCCAGACACATTCCCGAAAGTACAACGACATAAAGACACACAGTGGGGTGCAGAAAGCCCAGTGGTATCCTACGGCACCCACGTGATACAAAAGCAGCAGGCAGTGTGCAATGTGTCGACTCTGCACACACTTTTTGGGGGAGATGCAGATCTGACAGGGACTTACGAGCCCCATTGGAAACAGACGCTAAAACTTACATGGAAGTAGTCGACAAATATGCACAAGGCCATTAGTGGGACAATGCTCCCTTTATGCTGACACAGCCACATGAAAAGCCAAGAATCAAAAACATAACCTATTTCAGCTTCAACATCCACCCCAGCATCCAGGAATTAGAAGCTGTCTTGACTTGTGGCCCTGTCTCACTGATCTCAAGCAGAAATATACAGCTGTAAAAGCCTATGCTAGGCTAGCTCCATAGAGTGGGTAAAGGGTTTGATGTGTAAGCTCTACAGCCTGAGTTCAAATCCCCACAACCCAATAAAAGCTAGAAGCAGTAGCACACACATCTTTGATCCCGGCACACCCCCACAGAAATATGGGGGGGTGGAGATAGGAATCATATGGGTCAGCTATCCCGGCACATGCAGCAGTGAGCAACAGGAACCTGTCTCCAACATGGTGGAAGGTGGGGCCCAACACTAGGCACTGTTCTCCGATCACCACGTGCGCTCTTCTCTGCACTCATGCACATATAGACTCACACTCATGCACATATAGACTCACACTCATGCACATACAGACTCACTCACTCATTCATTCGTCACACACACATAGACACACACAGAACCTAAGCTGCCAGCGTTTTGTTTTGTTTTCAATGCTCAAACTCAGGCCCAGACACACCCCCACAGGAAAGGAACCCCTCAACTTGAGCATGAAGTTCCTAAACTAAACCACAAGAACTTTTCATGATGCCTAGCTAGGTACAAAATGCTATGCACATACAGGTAACAGTCATGCTGGGGCCCAGACCTCAGGAGAACAGTGACAGAGCCCAAGGCAGCAATGTGCCCTATAGGGCACCCACTGTGGCTAACTACAGCCTTATGCATGGAAGAGCAATACCCAGTCCTACCTTCAGCAGTAACCAACCCATTTCCCTGCTCTGTGGGCCTGAAGTCAATGCCGCTGCTTTCCTGGCATGTGAACTGGACCTTAGTCCTGGCTCTGTGTCATGGATTTCAATGCCAAGAATCCACGCCAGCCATGACCCATGGTTAGGATCTTTCCCCAGAGATTTAACCTTATCCCAGCTGATACACTGTGACAGCACAACAAGGTGGCTTTCAGTAAATTCGAACCTACAAGTCAAGATCACCCAGAAGTCCCCAGAATCGAGGTACCAGCTCAGCCAGTGTCTTATTAATGTCCTCAGGACAAAAGTTTCGAGCAGGTGCTACTTGAAGCTGAATTATTAGTGCATCTACATCTCAGGCTTTAAAATATTATTTCCAAGAAGATCCCAAAGACGGGTGATGACGCTCATTACTTCTGAGCACATTTACGGTGCGTGTCTCTATGAAAGCTCACAGCTGGCATCTGACAGTGGCAGTGACAGGTTTGATGGTACTTGTCATCAAACACATCCTTGAAATTTGATTGAAGTAAATGACTCCAAGTGTCCCTGGTTCCATTGTTCTGGGGTTTCCGATGCAGGTGTCATATACAGACATGAAGGGACTATAATAGTCCATATGGAGAAGGCACATTGGGCCAAAACTTGCTTCTACTGTTCCAAGTCACATTCTCATGACCACCAGAAACATCTGGAATAACTACATGAGCCTCGAACCTGGTGCTGACTACATCTGATAGTTGGGAGTCTGGTGAGAAGTTCATAAAGCTTACAGGGAAATGCCCCATAAACAGCAAGGACTTCACCAGCATAGAATAATGAGGCCCCAAGCACACTACACAGAAGCTCTTGGCCTGTGAGGACTTGCAGGGAACTGCTGAGGCAGTCCAAAGAGACTCCGTGGACTTCCTGGAAAGGAGCTGCAGGGAAAGAGTGACAATTGCAGGGAGAAGGTACTGAAGCCATGAGCTGGAGGCTAGGGAGGAGGCAAAGGGCCTTTGCTTCTAAGAGATGCTGGGGCCAGGCTTGGACCTAGCATCACATTCAGTACCAAACACCTACCTGCCATGGGTCAAAAGTAGACACACACACAAAACCTCCACTGAATGTATCACTACAGGTTTCTTCCCTTCCATATGAGAACTTTGAACACTGGTAATGGGAACAAAAAATGTGAAGTACATAATTCCCTGATAGAGTAAACTTAGGATTGAGTAAAACAGTAGATCTGGGTACAAGGTAGTAACAGCCAAGATCGGGGCCTATGGAATGGAGATGCACAAATTAGGAAACATTTAAAAAAAACCTGTCTAAAACCAGGAAAGCTTTTCAGCAAGTGCAATTTGAATCCAGTGGGAACAAACGTCCAAAGCTCCTGGAGTGAGTTGGGGAGCACATTATGTGGTGGGGGACAGAGAGATGTACCATGTTTCCTGTGATATACTGTGAATCCAGACTGCCACCTGAACACCCAAGTGCTGAGGGCTTCTGGGTCCTTGCTCTTGGCATTACTGGATCACAGCAGAACCTTCAGAAGGTAGGGCCTAGTGGGAGGAAGTCGGATGTTGTGTGCATATTCTTTTAGGTAATTTAAGACTCCAGCCATTCCTATCTCTATGGCCACCCTGAGGAGAGACACCTTCTCTACCACGTATTTCCACCATGGAGCACTGTGCCACTACAGGCTCAAGGCAATGGGGACAACGAGCACGGACCTCTCACCTCAGGGCTCAAAGTAAAACATTCCTTTTATCCGTTGATTGTCTTGACTATTTTGACACAGGAGCATAAATCTGAATGCTGAGTTAGGAGGGCTGGGAAGATGCAGGGAAGTGTTTCAAGATGGAGAGAGATGAGCATTCCTGATAAGCTGGGAATGGCCACGTGGTAAGCAGAGTGCAGGTGATAGAGACCTTTGGAGGTCCTTCCCCTAGGTGAATGGCGGCACGGCAGGACAGACACACTTAGTCCACACCTGGGAGGTTCAGCTACAGAATCAGGAAGCCAGGGGCCAGCGGGTAAGACAATAAGATCTGGTCTAAAATGGCAAGACATCTCAACCCAGCCTTGTCTATGCAGAGGGAAACCAGCGTGGCTAACTTCTTTGCTCACTGTAACTCTGTCCTCTGACTCTAAGACCCCAGTGGAGACACTGGGAGAGCAATGGTACTGTCTTTTAAGTATACCTCACCAGGAAAAGTGACCATTTTACATGAGGGTGTAACACAGACGGAGGAGGAGATGGGAGACAAACTGGCTACTTAGAGGGTTCAGCATCTGGCCTGCCAGGGGGACCCGAGATCCTGGCTCAATAGGGATACTGACCTTTCAGAACCTTGACCACTCCTCTTACCCTCATATGGAAGGATGGATGAACTGCCACATGCAAGGCAGTGCACAGGCTGAGCTGTTATGAGGATGTACTTGAATTTGACTCGTATGGTGCAGTACAGGGTGGCCAATACTGGACCTTACTAAATGGCAGCTCGTGTCCCACCAACTAGAGTTACTGAGCAAGGATATGCAAGCTCTTGCCTTCCATCCTTCCCTAGCCCTCCATCCTTGGCCTTTGACTTCCTCAAGCCCAAAAGGTTGACTCCCACAGGAGTCCATGATGATGAACAGTGCCCCCATGGAATCCAGCAGGACAGGGTTTGGTCTGTGGTCATTCTTCCCAAGGAACACCTATTTAAAATATGCAGGGTATGATGAGAATTGATCTGTATATACTGTGAATTCGTCACCATTACTGGACTCATTTAAATAAGGAGACAAATCTACAAGGTTATGGTCAATTAACACAGACTGAGAAATCTGCCCATGATTTCATGTGTGTCTGTACACACCTGCACCAGATGCAGCACCTC